CCAAGGTCACCAGGGGGCTCCTTTCATGAGCCCCTTACCATGAGTCCACGTTCCATCCTTACCGCTTGCCTCCAATGCACACTTTGCAGTGCTGGCTGATTCATTTTCAGTCTTTTCTCTTAGATTGACAGAATGCTGTATTATTACTGTACTTCCCTTTGGAACTGTACCAAACCATTCTTTCAGTATTTTAAAATAATTATGTTTTTTTTGAGAGTTGGGGCAACCAGGAATGAAGTGCTGATTCTTATTTTTATACATCTTGAACTGCTTCTTGTTATGGACTAAACTTTGTTCATCTCTTCCCCCAAATTTATATTTTGAAGTCCCAGTCCTCAGTACCTCGGCCTGGCCTTGGAATGTAACAGTATTTGGAGAGAGGATCTTTAAATATGTGATTAAATTAAAATGAGGCTGATGAGGTGGGTCTCTAATCCAGTATGGCTGGTGTTCAAATAATACTGAGGTAAGATGAACACTGTAGTTAGTGTTCATTCTAAAGTTCAAGTCTGGTTATGAAAGTTCTTGTATACTAATGTCTTCCCACCTGCCTTGGGCTATTGACTTAGATATCCAGCCTTCACATGTCATGACCTTTGCTCAGTTCTTCAGCCTGATTTAACACTGTGGTTTCTCTTTTCTCTCAGGACTCTACCCCATATATTTCCTTTAAATTTACTCAGTATGTGACACTCACTCCTCCGAAAGTGAAATTCCCTTCTCCTAGAAAATGACTTTTTTTCTTACCTTAGTTCAGTCACCACTTCCCTGGAAAAGACTTTTCTAACCTGTAAACTATACCAAAGCCTCTTCCTGACTATCCCAATACCTCTCTTCTTAGCTCTCATCTAGGTTATAATTTTATATTTAGTTGTATGGTCCTCTGGTTACTGTTGATCTCTTTTGTAGGATCTCATGCTGTGAGTATAGAGTTTGCCTCCATTTGCCCACCATTGGGTCCTCATTGCCTAGTTTCATTTCTGGCATGTTGGAGACTCCAATTTTTTAACAAATATATAAATATATGTTGAATAAATGAATAAATATATAGTGAATGTTCAAGAAATATCTGTTCTTTTAGTGAGTAATTAACTGAGTATTTGGAGGACTAATGGGACCTGTTTGGCACAGGACCAAATGTAATCAGGTTTCAGAAAGAAAGAGCAAGGAGAAACCCACACAAGGGAGACAGTTTGGATAAAACTATCAGGATTTCGAATAATCAGGATGGAAGCCCACTGTGAGGTGAGGTTAATTGAGTTCTTAGGTCTCATATCAGGAAACAGTTGATCTTTGGGAAACCAAATGAGAGATGGATATGGAGGGAGTAGGTCAAAAGTATGACTTGTCAAAAGCTGAGCTCTCTTCCATGTGTTTGTGCTCTTAGGTTTTTTTTTTGTGTGTGTGTGTGTGTTTTTTTAAACATATTTTATTGATTTTACACAGAGAGGAATTGAGAGGGATAGAGAATTAGAAATGTTGATGAGAGAGAAACATCGACCAGCTGCCTCTTGCCCATCCCCGACTGGGGATGTGTCCGCAACCAATGTACATGCCCTTGACCGGAATTGAACCCGGGACCCTTCAGTCCGCAGGCCTACGCTTTATCCACTGAGCCAAACCGGTTTCGGCTGTGCTCTTAGGGTTTTAACCAGTCTTTCATGGAATAGAACCATTACTTCTTGGTTTATAGGTTGACGCCCAACTGCTGAGCCATGCCACCAGGGTCCACTCTTGCAAAGACTCCTGAGCATATCTTGGTGTTGATCTAATAGAAGAAAGAGCTTTGTGCAAAGGTGATTTTTCCAGGGTCAGGGAGCAGAAGCAAGCCCACCATCACCAAGATATATGCCCTTTGGGATCAGGAGTTGGGGGGAAAAAAAAGAAACAAAACAACATAGGATTCAGAATAAAGGCCTATTAAACCCATGGAAATAAAAGATGACTAGCATGGGTTCTGACTAAAGGGTCCTTGCTTATGTGGAAGTGCAGATCTCAGACCTTTCATCCCACTGAAGGGAAAATAGAAACTATCCCATGAAAGTCAACCTATTCTCATTGGGTACATATTCTGGGAGGCATTTTGGAAGATGGCAATGATCCTATGGTCAATAAGTCTAGAGGAGAGCAGGCATGAAAAACAACCATATCAGAACAATTTCTATAGATGCCAAAATTGGTTTCAAATTAAGTATGAAGGAACAGAAAGGGAGAAGCAATTACTTCTAATTCAGCTTTCAGAGGAGAACTTACAGAGAAGGCGCACAAAACTTAGCTTTGAAAAAAATCTATATGACCTTTGTGGACAGAGAGAGCATTGCAGTATAAGACTGCATCACAGGCACAGCATGGAGATGTGAAAGCGAAAGGCTTGATTTGAGAAAGACAAATTGTTCATTGTGACTGACACTTGTTGACAAGACTCATGTAGTGCTAGCTCTGAAGAGACCCTGGGTCAGGTGTTGAAGTTGTACGAAAGAATCTGGATTGTGGTCTAAAGTCTGGAGAAAGGTGCATAAGAGATGCCATGTAGGAAACGCTGGGCCACCTCCTCAACTCTGTTCCCTACTCCACCCTTATTGTCCTTTTTAATTAAACCCCAACTCTGTTCAGATAACCCATCTCTTCCTGACAGGATGCAGGGGAAAGTGAAGCCACCTCCAGTTCCAAGGCTAGATATGAATGGGCTTAAGCCAGGCAAGCTAATGCATTTCCTTTGCACTGCAATGCCTGCTCTTTCTGGGTTATAATCAATAAATATACATAAGCAATATGATACTTAATTGTCCAGCATATGCAAGAAGCACACACAAATCAATTGTTGTTGTAAATCAGTCTGTTTTTGTCAGTTAGAAGAAAATCCCTTCAGAAATTCTCACTAAGCCAAATGAAGGGATTACTTCATAGATATGCTTTCCATTTATGGGCCAACATAAAGAATTACTGGCTGCCTTCAATTATTTTTAGTTATGTGTTAAAGTTATGTGATCTATATATTCTTTCCCCAAAGACCCCCAAGAATCTGGAAAGGATTATCCAGTCTCTAATTTAGGAATAGAGATGGATGAGTCCATCTGTGTGCATATGGGTCACTGGGGAGGTTGACTAAGTCACCATTTAAGATGATCCAGAACAGGTGTCTACAACTGTTTTAAGAATATGTACTGTGGTGGCCATGAAAATGGTCTGCTCAGGTCTTCAACTTTGAGGATTGACAGACAGCCCCAGCTGGTGGCTCTGGATTCCTGGGCACCAAGGCTAAGGATGATAACTTTTATTCAAATTATAGCATGGTCCATCTCTAAAACCAAGTGATTAAGTGTGGTGGGGGTACTAAGATAGGCCCATTCCAGGGAGACATGGGACTCTTCTGATGATAACTTTGGCTCGAGGACTCCCCCTTGGCCTTGACCAAACTTTCTGAGTCCTGCACTGCAGTGTAAGCATTTCCTTCCTTTGCTCTCTCCCATATCACATATCACAGTCTGATGGCTCTCCCAGCATATTTGATCTCATCTTGGCTTCTGACTCCGAAGGACCAGGCTAACACAAGTACTGTTATAATTATATCTCCCAAATTAAAACACTCAAGTGTTTTTATTAAAATAGTATTATAGAAAGAATAAAGAGCAAAGACATTAATTTGAGAATATTTATGACTTAGTCACTACATTTCCATTCTCTAATATGTGTATGGTAACCTTTATTCAAATTATAGCATGGTCCATCTCTAAGGGCAAGCTCCTGTGAAGTTGAAGTTTGCTGCTTCTCTTGACAGGTGGGCAGCCCTAATTCAGAGTTATAAAAATTTTCATTCTCCTTGGGTGATTTTGTGAAATTAACCTGGGCCTGTATTTTCTTTTTGGGTCATCAATATGTGAAACATATATTCTAGGAGCCAATAATATTCCAATCACAGAGGATGTCCCAGAACCTATCACTGCCACTCCAGAGATAGCCATCTGAAACTCTCTCAGTAAGGAATAGGGAGGGGTTTTCTTATATTTCTAAACTCCTCCCATCACCAGATTAGACATGAAGTTTAGTTTTGCACTGAAAATTTCAGTCATCTGAGAGCCGGTGGAACTGACTTAACCCAAGGCTGAGAGTGGGTGTCTTTCCTCTGGTTCTGAAATATCAGACTCACTGAGTAGGACACAATAGCCCCAATTTCCTATAATTGCATCCAAATCAGTGTGGTTTATATGTCTTCACATATAATCCGATAAGGGTTGCAGATATCAAGATGCTAAAATGTTAGTGTGTGGGGAATGTGAGTCATGGAAGATCAAGTATCTGTATGACAAAATTCCTATAGAGAAAGAATGTGTGAAAGTCCCTAGTTTTATAGCCCCAACATTATTTTTCCCCTGTAAATGTAAATAATTCTTTCCAAATTCATTTATTCTAAAGACCCTGTGACATTAAGGTCTTCCTTTCAAGGTTTTCCATTATCATTGAGAATTGTGATCCAAAGTTTTTAAATTTTAACTGAGGTCACATAAACATCAGTCATCTTGCAGAGGGAGGAGAGTAGGGAGGATATGAAATGAGAAGCCAAGAGTAACTGAGTTTATTTCCCACTATTCTAAACATCAAAATGTAAGACTAAAACTTTCATTGCTATTCAAATTTATTAAATCGTTTCCAGATAAATTTTCCCCATTGAATTTGATCCCAAATTTTACTTGTTACTAGATCCATCAGGCCATTGCCAGGGGCTCAGAACTTAGTTTATAAAAATACAGAGTTATGTCTCCATTCATTATCTTTGGCAGAGACCATAGCAACCATTGAGATGAGCCCCTCTTTATCCTTAGTCATAGAGAAATTTCAGAGAGAAGCTGCAGAATATACTGTGAAGTGTGACTTGATTTGGAAGTTTGAGGACAGATACTCAAAAGTTGTGTTTTTTTGAGGTCAACAGCTCCTATCATGATGTTAGGATCAGATAGGGTTTTGGTTGGATTATAGCTTAGTCGATATGAAGTCACTTAAGAATTTTTATTTGAGTTTATTAACAAATTTTCAAAGTAATACATGCACGAGGTAAAAAATTAAATATAATAGTACAGAGGACTTGAAATGAAAAACACAGTACCCCACCCCACCCTTTTTAACCCTATTCCCTTTCCCTAGAGGCAATGCATGTAACAATTTCTATTTTTAGATATTCTAACTTTTTAACATTAAATAATGCTTGAACAATAATTTCTTGATTTACTAACTTTAGACAATATTTAATAATACACCATTACAAAAGATAAGGATTTAACTTACACTATCCCCACTTGTCCTTTGCTTATCTTTCCACAAATTTTTTATAATTATCATTTTAATGCTTCTAATGGTTTAATTTATAGTTTTGAACAACATACCAATCCTCCAGTTCTTGTTTCATTAACTGTAGACTCTTTTTCCATCCCCACTTTAAATATATGAGTAGCCCTACTCTTCCTTCCACCTCTTTTCCCACAGCCAGTTTTCAACCTCTTTCTGATCTCTTTTTTTCTGTACCTTGTCAGGGTTAATTTCAATTTCATTTCTGAATAAAAAAATGAAGCCTTTCATGTTTTGCCTATAGGCTGATCAGAACCTATAAAAAGCATCTATATTATTTGGCTATATAAATACTGTTTACTGAAAGCCACACAGAAGCTAGGACATTTTCTTTCATACACATCCAATATCATGCCTGTGTTATTTGAAAGGAAATATACTCACCGCCAATGTCAAATTGAGTCTCTTCTTATATTCCATGATATTTTTGTTGTTGTTATTTCAGAAATGGACTTAAATTTCTTGACATATTTTTGTTTTGTTTTCTTTTTTGTTGACTAACGAATGTATGTACTCAATACTCTCAAACATTGTAGCTTCTCAGTGATACTATCCTTGGCACAAAATGAATATTCTTCCAAGAGAGCTTGAGACTATACTCTCATCTGAATGGGGTCTGTGTGCTAGATAACTGACTATCACTCTAGAATGAGACATCCTGTTGGATAACAGTTACTCTAGAGCAGGGGTGGGGAACATCCAGCCCTCGGGCCACATAAGGCCCAAAAAATCATTTGGTCTGGCCCTGCCAAGGCATTAGGGATGAGTTAATTAAATGTTTGACCAAATATAGCAAGCTAATTTTTAGGTTGATCATTTTGTCTGGCCTAAGAATGATGTTATAAATATCCAAATGGCCCTTGGCAGAAAAATGGTTCTCTACCCCTCCTCTAGAGTGAGAGATCCTATTGGATAACTGTCATTCTAGAGTGACACATCCTTCCTGGGTGAGGTCCATTGTTTACTAGATTCTATTTCTTCTTCTTTCTTGGTTCTCATCCTCATTTTGCTGGAGAACTTCCTCAAGGTATTTCTTCAGTAAGGGTGCAGAGAAGGTAGACTTTCTGAAAACTTGCATGTCAGAAAATGACTCAACAGCTTGGCTTGCTATGGAATTCGGGGTACAAAATTTTTCATAAGGTATGTGGAGACATTGTTCCATTGGCTTATAGCTTTTTTTATTATTAATATATTTTATTGATTTTTACAGAGAGGAAGGGAGAGGGATAGAGAGTTAGAAACATCAATGAGAGAGAAGCATTGCCTCTTGCACAATCCCTACAGGGGATGTGCCCACAACCAAGGTACATGCCCTTGACCAGAATCAAACCTGGGATCCTTCAGCCTTCAGGCCAACGCTCTATCCACTGAGCCAAACTGGTTAGGGCAGCTTCTAGCTTTTAGTGTTGCTGATGAAAAATCTGCTGCCTAGTCTATTTCTCATACCTTTTTGGCTAAGCTAATTATGATGACCCAATTTTATTTTCTCTCTGGGCAGTTTTAATGTCTTCTCTCTATTCTTAATATTCCAAAATTTCACATAATTGTGTCTTGGTATAGGTTTTATTAGATCCCCCTGAATCTGGAGACTTAGTTCTTTCTGTTCTTCAATTATTTTTTTTCTTTGCCTATATTTTCTGTTTTCTCTTAAAACACACACACACTAATGGTTAGATCTTTCCTTTCTTCATAGTTTATGCTATTTATTTTTGCTCCATATCTAGGGAGATTACATCAACTTTTTTCTAGCTTGTCTACAGGGTATTTTGACAATATTTCATTTTTGAAGGGCTCTCCTTATTCTCAGAGTTTTTCCTTTCATTGTAACATCCTGTTTTCATCTTACAAATACACCTCAGATCTCTCTGAAGATATAACTAGATTTTAAAGTAACTTTTTCAATGTTGACTTTGTTTCCTCCAGAATTGGGTGCAGTTTTCCAATCTCCTGCTTCCAATTAGTAATTTTTTCTTATATACATCTCGTCTCCCTTGGCCCTCCCTCCCACTTTCCCACCCCACCATCACCCCAATGCTCAATGTCTGGGAATTCCTAGCTGACCATTTGCACTTAAGCATCAATATAACTGTTGCCTTTTATAGGAGTTGATATGGGTTTCCTCTGCCATTGTATGGTTTGGTCTGTTTTTCCAGTAAGCTTCTTCTATGACTGGAAACACTTGGTTACTTAAGTAGGGGGGTTTCAGTAGTCAATAAAGAATTAGCTGGTAGGCTAAGGGATCACTTATTTCCACAAAAAGAGAAATTTCATTCTGACGCACCAACTTCTACCTCTCTCAGGAAATTTATTCAATTCCTTTATATAAACAACAATAACAACAACAATAACAGCAACAACAGAGTTCTCACTGGTACCAATAGTTGACTATATTCTATACACAAGGGATAGGGTAGAATGTGATGGGGTTCAATTTTACAACTGGTATAATTCTTTATGAGATAGACTTTTCAGGTGCCCAAGCCTCTCTGTGGTTATGTTACTCAGATCAGCTTATATTCTGTCTGAAAGGTACCTTCTCTTTCATTCTTTTTTCATGCTTCATCCACTTTCTCTCTTCCAGAAATGTGTTGAGGTCTGCTTCATTCATAACCAAAAGCCTTCCAGTTTTCTTTCACTTCAATTTCAGTGGGGCCTGTAGAGGGAGGAGAGGTAAACTTGTATGTTCACTGTATCATCTTAAATTCAAAGTAGCACTGGAAGCTTTTAAATAAGGAGGTGGTATGGATAGTTCTGCATTTTTAAGACATCCCCAAGGCTGTACTGATGAAAATGGATTAAAGAGGGGAAGAATAGATAAAAATATTATTCTAAATAACTGAGGATCTAATTTACTTTCTGAGAACATGCAATGTCTGGGACTTTGGGAAATCAGGCACTTTATCAAAATAACCCATTATTCAAAATCCAGTAAGCTAATAAATGCTTTCATGGTGCCCTAGAGGGAAGGACTGAAACCTGAATAACCTGAAATCTAAAAAGAGTTGGATGACACTAAAGGGATCATCCCATCTTTGTCTATTGGGAAGCACTCCAGGAGCCTACCTCAAATCCTTCCTTTAAACTGGAATTTGAGATAAACAAAGGTATTTTTTCTTCTTATAAAATTAGATGAGGAGCAAGTACAAGCAGCCAAAGTTCTGGCAAGTAGGGACATAAAGATCTATTTTCTGGTTGGTTTCTTTATTTAAACATTTATTTTGTTATTCAAAGCAGTGTAGTTACTAACACCCACTGTAATAAGAATGCCCAGGTTCAAATCCCAGCTCTATCACTTGTTGGCAGTGTAGCCTTATGTACTTCACTTGCCCTCCATGAAATTCAGTTTGCTCACTCCTAAAAAAGGATTGGTAAATTTCCATCTTATAAGATTACTGTGAGGATTTATTTATTTATGTTTTTGAGAGAGAGAGAGAGAGAGAGAGAGGGGGGGGGGAGGGAGGGAGGAGGGGAAGGAAGAAGGAGACACAGAGAAGGAGAGAGAGAGAAAAGGAGAGGGAGAGGAACATTGATGTGAGAGAGACACATCGATTGGTTGTCTCCTGTGCGTGTCCAGACCAAGGCCAGGAATCGAGCCTGCAACTGAGGTACATGCCCTTGACCAGGAATTGAATATTTGACCCATTGGTCTGCAGGCCAATGCTCTAACTACTGTCAGGGGTTGATAGCAATTATTTTAAAGGTTGAATGGACATTCAACATCTATGTTTAAAGCACCTAGATGAAAGATGTTCATGAAATAAGAGAAAATATTTCTATGATTGAGAAAGGACATAATAAAAAATCCAGACCTTGCTGGTTTGGCTCAGTGGGTAGAGCATTGGCCTGCAGACTGAAGAGTCTCTGGTTCGATTCCAATCAAGGACACATGCCTGGATTGCAGCTCGATCCCCAGTAGGGGATGTGCAGGAGGCAGCTGATCAATGATTCTCTCTCATCATTGATGTTTGTCTCTTTCTCTCCATCTCCCTTTCCCTCTGAAATCAATAAAAATTTATTTTAAAATATCCAAAGAAAAACATCTAGGTCAAATCTTATTATTCGTGCATCCACCCATTTTTCAATAAAGCAAATAAAATGGTGTATTAAAATAAGTAAATAAAAAGAAGTGAGCTAAAAGAAAACTGGATGGATGTACACAACATTAATCCTATATCCTCAACTCTAGTTGAAACTACAAAGAAATGGGAGGTTTCTGAATATGTTTAGAAGAACATTTAAGAAAATCTTTTAATGTGCTGTAATCAAGTGAAATTCGAGTTGGTTATTTCTAGTTCTTTTGTTCCAAAGTAAATATTTCTATATTATGTGAACTTTATCAGCCCAACTACCGTAGTAAGTAACTCTTGACAATGATAGAAATCTGTGTCACTATGGAAATATAAACACCAACACTGAGCCAGTTGCCCATTGTTTGATAAAGACAAGCATCTTCCTGGAATTTTCCTGAATTTATAAGTAACTTTCACTCTTTACTTAATCAAAGATGGAATTCTACCTAAACGATGGAACTGAGTAAAGAGACCAAAACCCTAAGTAGCTTGTAAAACCCTGTAAATTTAGAGCCCTTTCTTTAGATCATAAAGCAACCTGCCAGACTCCTCCCAGAGGTTGATGTAGGAAGTGTAGGAGGGCACAGGATTAATTACACTGAATTTGTAAAAGCCATCTATAAGTGAAGTCCATAATGATAGTGAGTTAATTTTATATAATAAAGAAGTAATATGCAAATTGACCATTACACTCTCACATAAGATGGCTGCCCCCAAGGTACAAGATAGCCACCACAAGATGGCCAGCAGGGGAGGGCAGTTAGAGGCAACCAGGCCAGCAGGGGAGGGTAGTTAAGGGTAACCTGGCTGGCAGGGGAGGGCAGTTAGGGGTGACCAGGCCAGCAGGAGAGAGCAGTTAGGGATGACCAGGCTGGCATGGGAGGGCAGTGGGGGGTGGGGGGACCAGGCTGGCATGGGAGGGCAGTTGGGAGGGACCAGGCCAGCAGGGTAGGGCAGTTGGAGACAACTGGGCTGGCAGGGGAGGGCAGTTGGGGTTGGTTGGGCTGGCAGGGAAGCAATTAGGCATCGATCAAGCTGGCAGGGGAGTGGTTAGGGGGTGATCAAGCTGGCAGGCAGAAGCAGTTAGGGGCAGGTAGGCAGGCAAGTGGTTAGGAGCCAGCAGCCCAGATTGTGAGAGGGATGTCCCCTGAGGGGTCCCACATTGGAGATGGTGCAGACTGGGCTGAGGGACACACACCTCCCACCCCACCCAGTGCATGAATTTTATTCACTGGGCCTCTCGTTAGATAATAATAATGGCAATTGACATTTTCTCTATACTTACTAATGGCCAGCTAACTGTTCTTATCACTTTTAGAGGCACTAAAATTTAATCCTCACAATAATCCTATGAAATCAATTCCATTTTAGAGATGAGGAAATTGAGTGACAGAGAAATTAAGGAACTTGCCCAGAGTCATAAAATTACCAGGTGAGAGAATCAGGATTTTGGAGGCAGTGGAGTCAACTGTGAGAGATGATGATCTTAATCTCTAGGCTACGAGAAGTAGTCAGCTTACTACTATGTGAACCAACCCAAAATCAAGCAATCCCTTGGACAGCATGCACTGTATTCACAAACCTCTTCAGAATTACTGAGTCTCTATGACAACCCCCGGGGGGGTGGGGGAGGTAGGAATTTTTATCCTCACTATATACACAAAGAAATAAGAATACCAAAATAAAACAACTTTCCTAAGAGCTAACCCTAGCTATGGATTCTATTTCTCCAGATTACTTTTCACGCTTTTTGAAAACTACCCAATACACAAAATATATGAGACCTCAGGGAGCTATGAAAATCATGATAAATTTGTATTTCATTTGGGTTCTGTGGTCAGGGTTTTTGGAATAACTCATTAGAAATAAAATACAGTGGGTCGTCAGGATGCCAGGCTGAGAACTACTCTCTATGGGCTGTGGGCCGTGATGGTGAACCAAGGGCTAGCATAGACATAGGGACCAAAGCTCTCAGAACTGGCCCAATTAGGGTCAGGAGTGAATTTGATAGCAGAGAGCTATGGAACAAGACTCATAAACAGAAGGCCTTGCCCCTGAAAAATTCTGATTCCACTTTCTTACTGTGTTTTTAACCCACTTTCTAGAGAGAGAACCAGGGCAGTGAGCCCAGAGGACAAGGCTAGAGCCCTAAGACACAGAGGTTGAGGAGTGAATCCTTGTCTCTGTCTACCTCCCCACACCTCCCTATCTGCCACCTTGCTGGGCACTCCTTACATCTGTGTGAGGAGGTACAACTTCATAATATTTTCCTTCCATTCAGGCAGATAGGCCAGGCTTGTAGCCAATTCCTTCTGGATCGGCCAGGCCCAGGCCTCAAAGAAGGGAGCCAGATTCTTCTGCACTTGGTGGGAGAACATCTTCACCCACAAATTCATCTTGTCAACATTGTCAGTGGGCAAGTTGGTCTGGTTACGGTACTCAGTGAAGAGACGGATGAAGGGCTCCCAACCAAAGGCTTCCTGGAGCTGAAAAGAGAAGGATGAGGCAGGTTGAGACAGGTAGTCTACAAACACCCTGACAAATGAATTTACTGCATTGAACCCCTTCAACACTAATTGCATGGCTATGACAGACCCTCTTTCCTGTTTTACCTGATGACTTCATTCCCTACTCTCTCATATTCGAATCTTAAGATGGGCCTCTCGCCTGGCCAGTGTGGCTCAGTGATTGAGTGTTGACCCAAGCACCAGAAGGTGGTCAGTTCAATGCTTGATCAGGGCATATTCCCTGGTTGTGGGCTTGATCCCCAGCAGGGGGTGTCCAGGAAGCAAATAATTCATGTTTCTCTCTCTTTCTCTGAAATAAAAAAAGGGGCCTCTCAGCTAGCACAATGCTCAGCACAAAATAGATACTTAATAAATTATTGTGTGGTGTGCTTGTGGGGCTGAGGCAGTTAAATCTATCATTAGTCATATATTTCACTAGATCATGTAATATCTCACTAGGATATCATATAAAACTTTAAAATGGGCTGGCATGGGGAAAAAAATCCTTATATCTTTCATAGTTGCAAAGTTAAACCCAATTTTTTGGGAACTCCTATCCTATATAATAAAGAGGTAATATGCAAATTGACTACCACACCCTCGCACAAGGTGGCCGCCCTCATGTGGTCACAAGATCACCAGCAGGGGAGGACAGTTGTGGGTGATCAGACCAGCAGAGGGCAGTTAGGGGCAACGAGACTTGCAGGGGAGGGTAGTTGGGACTATCAGGCCTGTAGGGAAGGACAGTTAGAGGCAACCGGGCTGGCAGGGGAGGGCAGTTGGGGGTGACTGGGCCAACAGGGGAGGACAGTTGGGAGGACCAGGCTGGCAGGGGAATTGTTAGGGGGTGATCAGGCTAGCAGGCAGAAGCGATTAGGGGAAATCTGGCAGGTAGGCAGGTGAGTGGTTGGGAGCCAACAGTCCTAGATTGTGAGAGGGATGTCCCCGATTGGAGGGTGGAGGCTGGGCTGAGGGACACTCCCTTCCAGTGCATGAATTTCATGCACTGGGCCTCTAGTCCTGACATAATCCTCATTAATCATAGGTCTTTGTCAATTTACAAGGCAACTAAATGGCCTTTGGAGGAGAAAAGTGACTCTGTAGAAGCAGGATACTATATATATATATATATATATATATATATATATTTTCTAGGTAGCTAGAGTTAAGAGTATCATTTCAGAAAGGCACCCATCCTAAGGCCATTGGAAATAGCCCATGTTGGGCTGGGTTATAGAGCTTTAGCATGAAAAGAGATGTTAGCAATTCCCTAGAACAACCTCAACTTCATTTCACAGATGAGGAACTTCTGTCCCTGGGGTGAAGTGGCCCTAATAACAAGTTTAAGCACAGTCCCCCAGGCAGTTTCACTGTCATTCTCAAGGCCATCAGAATAAACACAGAGAAACTGGAGCAGGTGGACAAACCAGATTACAGTCTGACTGGTCTGGGATTAAGTTCCAGAATCCAAGGTGATAAAACTCTCCACAATGAACTGGGAACTAATCCAGGGACTCAGGGGCAGAGCTGGGGTGTTTGAATGATAATTCAAGGCAAAGACAACCTCCATGTCCAGGCCAGGGAGAAATCTTGTATTGCCTATAAGGTGGAAACAGGCACAGCCAAGTCATATTGAAAAGATGGTATACTCATCTGAGGAAAAAAATAGGTCCTATCCCATATTTTTTTTTGTGTGTGTGTGTGTGGGGAGGTTGTTTGGTTATAGATAGCTATTAAATAGAAGAGTTTGGTGTCAATCTCAGTTATGTCTGGATCTAAAGCCTGTGATAGTAACTGTTATAGCAATACACATGCCTCTACCATGTTTTCACCTCTTTCAGTGCTTCCTGTCTATTCTCATGCATCTCTTCAAGTTCATAGGGTGAGGGTGGGGCTAAGGCGGTTACTGTAACTCTACTTAGGATCATGCAAAATGATATACTGAGAGGCCTCATCTAATAGGACTGTCACAATTGGGCTTTGTCAGGGTCTCCTGAGGCCTAACATGGGAGGCAGGTGTAGTGGGAGGTCTTCTGGGTTACGTGAACATCACCTAATAATGATGCTCTGGTATCCCCAGAATAAGGGGTTCCCATCACTCGCCCTTTTTGCCTAATATACCTGTAAATATGTTTCCAGTGCTGTCCACGCATTCCAGTTTTTCAGATTGGGACCCTTGCTCAGGTAGATTCTGACTCTTTTCTCCCGTACTGGGGGCCACAGGGCAATATTGGCGCGGCCTCGAGGAATGCCCAAGACCGTTTCGTGCACATAAACACACCACAGGTTGCAGGTGGCCTCGGTGGTGTGTGGTGGGAATTCCCACTCCTGCCGCTGCTGGTTGCGGCCGAGCTCATGGACAGGGCCCCATAGCCCCTTGGTTCTGATGAGTTTCTCATTGATGAGCTCCTGCACTGACTCCAGGTGGCACATGATGGGGTACCCCGCATGCATCCAGCCTGAAAATAGAGGAGGGAGGTGGAGGGTTAGAGCGCTCCCCACATATCTTACAAAGTTCTCTGTTTTGAATCTCCCAAAATACTTAGTAACCCTGATGACTTCCAGAACCCCGTACTGCTCAGAAAGTCAATCCAAATCCAGATCCTCCTGGGCTTTCCTCCTTATCCTCTCACTCTGTAATAATCCCTCATCCTCACTCTGACCTGAGAGCATGTGCTTATGGGAGGTGATGCAGGTCCCAAATCACTGTTCATGTTACTACTCAAGAATTCTATGTTTATGAGAGTGTCCTATCCCTGGGAACCTGTGTCATTGTACTCTTTTCTCAAAATTAAGGATTCATTGAGGGTGTTCCCTTTTTGTTATTTAGATGTGGAGTTGCCCACATTAATATTATTGTATAGTGATTGTAAGCCAAAAAAATCTAGTCTAGAATAATGTCCATGCTTATTTAATTTCTATAGACGCCCCCCTTCCCACCCCAAATTTTTTAGGCCTCCTGGCCCACTGGTAAAACACCATCAAAATACCACTTTAAACGTCTTCCTCAATATCTATGGAGGTTACACACAATTTATTAATTATCCATTCCATAATTGTTGTACATTGTAGGTTGTTTCCAAATTTTGTGAAAGTCACTGAGTCTATTTTTTTTTTAATACACATTTTTTCCTTTTCATTTAGCAAGGATTACATCTTGTTTGTCTTGCTAGAAAAGCTTGTTTACTCTGCTGGCTGCCCAATGCATGGCCTTTGGGAGAAAGAAGTCCCACAGGGCTACTGGGAACAGGGCACCCACCTACTGAAATCTGCACATCAGCAACAATCCTCTGAGGCAGACGCAAGGGGAAGGGCTCGGCCCCCAGCCTTGCCACAGCCTGCATCACCTCATCCCAGAGGCGAAGCACCGGCTCAGGATTATCCAGTGTGCGAAGGTTGGCAGTTGGCACTGTCAGGATGATGTTGTCCGTAGCCAGCTCTCCCCAGGGACCTGGATTCTCCTGGAGACACTTCTTCCAATCCTCCAGGGTTGTCTCCCCTGAGAAGAGAGGCCATGGCGTTGAAATGCCCTTTTCCAAATCCCTTAGGTTAAAACACCTCACTTGAAACCCAGGAGGAGAACACCAAGGCCATCTCCATCCTTCTTCTATGGCACCCCATGCATGTGGGTTGGTCTATCTCCTTGGCCCCAAAGCTGAATTTAAGGAGGCTTACCTTTCTTCTTTCCTCCAATCTGAACCTTTCTCTTCCTGTACCAAACAGTCCCACTGTCCTCCTCACTCCCAACTCTCCTGTCCCCAGGGTTCACTTCATAGCCCACACTCACCTAACTTGTAGAATGGAGCATGCACAGCCCCCTTCACAGTGATGGGCACAGAACCCAGCTTGCTGTTCTGAGGCACGATGATGTAGAGGAGGCCGCCCCAGAGGCAGGTGATTGATTTTGTGGGCTTGTCCAAGCAGCACCGGTTGATTACCAGTGGGCCTCGGAACAACTTGCTGGCCCTGGTCAGGTCATCTGTGTGGCAGCCAATCTGTACCTGGAACAGAGATATTCCCCCCGCCCCCAGAGTCACCTCAGGTGCATGCGGTGGAAGATGATAAAGCCCATGAGGTGAGGACAGGAAGGGCACCAGACTATATGACCCCATGTCCATGAACCGTGTGTGCTAAACCTATGGAATTGCAACATTCTTTAGGTGGTATGGACTAAATGGTGTGAAAATATCCTCCTAGGGGAGTCAAAACAGCTCTAAGGTGATGCTGAGATGCTGATGCGAGGGGCACCAAGTGTTCCACAATGGGGACGCTAGTATTGGCAATGGGATGGAAGGGATATAGCCTTTTGCTGACTGCAGAGGAGGCCCAGTGGCAACTAGTGTGACAGGCTGATGTGGTAGAGGATTGACTCAGTTCCAATCTATAAGACCCCCCTTCCAGAGCCAATGGAGTGACCCTTGTCCTTGGTGGAGTCCTAGAATTGTTTTCTTGGGTTTATGCTAATCAAATTCTAGGATAAATGCAGGTACAGAATAAGTCCTGTCACAGAGACCATCAAGGGAAAAAGAGCCGTACCGCAACTTAATATGTGACTAGGGTATGTGTATGTGCAAGAGCTGAGAAAGTCTAGGGATAGCAAGGAACAGTCTTTGGTATCCCAGGAAGAAACTGGAGTCAGAAAGGCCTCGTGCTACAGAGGGAGATGCATATGGAGACGGAAGTGAACTAAAGTTTACTGAATACCACTGGGTGCTAGGGCACCTTCCACATGGCACTGTTCCTATTACCCTGCTCTACGGTATCAGTGAAATGCACAAAACTTCAGGGTGAGGAGGTGATTAGGTTTGAGCCCTAGCTCTGAAATATATCAGGTCTATACATTTCAATCAATCACTTAACTGTTCTGCATGTTAGTTGCCTCATCCTTAAAATGGGGGTAAAAGTACATGTCCCATATTGCCAATAGAGTTTTTATGAGGATCAAGATGCCAACTGTGAAAGCAAGAATATTTGGGCTCCATGCTTTCTGGGGAGGTAGGATATGGCCTTACCTTCAGGTCAGCAGAAGCAGCAGCTTCAGGCAGTGAGACCTCTATAATTTGCCTTCCAGGTATGTACAGCCCAGTGCTCATCCAGCAATATCGGGTGCCTGTCAAAAGCACGGAAGGATTTTACTCCCTCTCCATAATCCCATCTCCACCCAGAATCTCCACAGCCCTTCATGAACTCTGTACATCTTTCCTATCTATGCTGCCCTGACTCAACTCTTACAAACATTACTAAATTCCTAATCCCTATCTCCTTAAAAGTGCATGGCAAAGGGTGAAGATGGCCTTCTGGAGGTGATCAGGTCCCTGAAGTGAGCTAAGTCATCATGTCTCAGTCCCCCAACCTTGAGCTCCCACCCCTAATTCCATACCTGGATTGTTGCAGTTGACCTGAACGGTGATAGGAGAGTCAGAGGGGCGCAGATAGGAGCTGCTGTACATGTCTTCAATTTCTGGGACTAACAGAGAGAGGTCACTCCCAGAGTGGGCCAGACCAGTGGCCAGGGAGAGCATAGCACCCCTGCAGCAGTCATTGATGACTGGGTTTTCTCGGGTCGCCACTGGGAGCCGGTATCGACTCAGCAGCTTCCTGAGGAGCCGATGTACAGACATATAGGCAGGGATCTCTTCTGCGGGGATCTGCAGGAAAGCTGCACCATCTGGCCCCAGCTTTGCCAGCCATCCCTTTTCCACATTCCCTCTCTTCCTGCCCATTATAACCTGGAACTCAGCCAAAGTGGAGCGGAAGTGATAGGTCCTTATCCCCGATTTTGGAGTACGAAAGGGCCCTGGATTGAGGCTTTGGCTTGTGATACTGATGCCAAGGGCGTTGAGCAGGAGGTTCCCTGGGAACCGAGCCAGAGGGGACACTCCGGGGTTCTTGAAGGCCCACCACCAGGCTTGGGCTGCAACAAACAGGCCCCCACCCTCAGCTACAAATTCCTGCAGCTCCTTGACTCCTACATCACTGGTGGGCTCAAAGCAATAGACACTCGCATCACTGGTTAGATTGGGCTCAATGCTGGTATCTATGCCCCCCACTGCAAGCAGGCCGCTCATTGTCCTTAGTTCCGTCTGCACCACGATCTTGCCTCGGCGGCCCGCATCAAGCCAGCGCACGGCATTGAGCAGAAAGGGGCCCAGTTTACCCACAGTGAATAATACCTTGTGGCCCATCACTACCACCCGGCCCCGGCCATAGCGAGCAGCCGCTATAACACAGCCGTGGTAGGAATCTAACCCCAGGGGAAAGGCTAAAGCGCCATGCACTAGCAGCTGGGATGGGAAACAATCCGAGTTGCTGATGTCCAGCTCAGAAATCCCGTGCAGAAGCTCCTCTCTGTCCTCGGAGAGATCGTCTTCACAACTGCAAAAGAGACAGGTGTTCTCTTAAAGGAGAGGCTCTGCAGATAGCTCTGGAACAACTCCTGGCATATATAGCAAGAGTCAGCTTTATTAATATCATTCTTAGTTCTTCCAGGAGAGCCAGAGAATCTAGTGGGCAGATCTGACCTCACTGGTATGGAGACTCCTTTGAGGGATGACAGAGGGACTCAGCAATAATTCTGCTCTGCTTAATCTCTAGGTACAAACTCTCCAAAGGAAATCTTGAAGAAAGCCTTGCTGTGTTTACCCAGCACTATATGTGAAATATTCTGGATTTACGTGTTAAAAGTGCCCTTTAAGCATTATATGTAGAAATGGCCTGGTTGAGTGTCAACCTATGAACCAGGTCAGGGTTCCATTCCTGGTCAGGGCACATGTTCGTGTTTCAGGTTCCATCCCTGGTGGGTGATGTGCAGGATGTAGACGATCAATAATTCTCTCTCATTATTGATGTTTCTATCTCTCTTTCTCTTTCCCTTCCTTTCTGAAGTCAATAAAAATATATTAAACAAAAAAACAAAAACAAAAAGAGAGAACTGACTAGAAAACATCTTTTCATCCTTATAAGGAGTTTTGTTTATAAATTTCATGCTATTAATTTTCTGCAAAAAAACTCTCAATGGACAGCTGAGTTAATGGTGCTGTTAGAATCACTATTATCTCAAAACTAGAGGCCCATTGCATGAAATTCGTGCATGGGAAGGGTCCGTAGGCCTGGCTGGTGATCCCGGCCAATTGGGGTCTTCCTTATGGCTGCCGGCTGGGGCCTTCCTTCATTCCGCACCACTCCCTGGTGATCAGCACATGTCATAGTGAGGGATTGAACTCACAGTCTCCTGGTCGAACTCCAGAGGGGACACTTTGTATATTAGCCTTTTATATATAGTATATAGATGTGGGCCAGGGGAGCTGACTGGTCTAAATTCTAGTGAGATCCTCCTGTTACCTGAACCCAAGAAGACTGACTGCTACTCCAGCTCTTCACCCATTAATTGCCAGCCCACAGGACTGCTGCATATCCATGCTATATGTTTTTTCAGAGCACCATCTATTCCTGCCCAAAATGGAGATGCAGCCTATGGGATTATTAGGGAATATGGGGGCAGAGTGACCTCTATAAGCTGAGATCCAGAGCTGGTTATATCACTTATGATAGGTAAGGCTGTGGCAACTGTATGGTCAGAAGGAAGCTGCAAGGAAACACTGAAAAACAGTGAATTCTAGCTTCTGCATTTAGTCTAAATTCATTTTTAATTATTATTATGTATGGAGTGGGATACATTTCAAGATTTATTTTTCCCCTCAACCATCTGTAGAAAAGATTCTTAGCACCTTGCCAAAAAATAATTGAGCATAAAACTATGGGTCTATTTTTTAAATATCTAGTCTGTTTCATTCATCTGTATATCTATCCTTATGCCAAAACCACCATAGTTTAAAATAGGGGTGTTGAACTCAATCAGAGAAGGGGCCAAAATCTAAAATCCAGCCTAAATCGCGGGCCGAATGGTTTACTGAACAGTCATAAACTGTCATTGTGATGGAAACGCAGCGGAGTGCAGTGATGACAGCATGGTGCAGGCTACATTGCAAGGCCTGGTGGGACGGATTTGGCCCGCGGGCCTTGTGTTTGACACATGTGGTTTAAAATATTGAGTATTCTAATACATTAACATGGCATATTTTTCCATTTCTTTAGGTTTTATTAAATTTGTCTCAATAATGTTTAGTAGTTTTCAACATACAGGTACAGAAACATATTTTGTTAAATTTATCCATTAGCATTTCTGTCTAATTGGCATATTGTGCTTTTATTAGTATATATAGATAGTACATTTATCAAAACTAGGAAGTTAATGTTGGTAAAATACTGATACCTAAAGTCTAGACTTTAGACAAATTTTACCAGTTTTACCACTAATGTTTTCTAGGATCCAATCAAAGCTACCACATTGAATTTAGTATTGAAACGTTTTTAATTACAGTTCAACTCTTTTGTCAATTTTAATAGTTTTTGTCTATTAGGAAATTTGCCCATTTCATCCAAGTTGTCAAATTTATTGGCATAAAGTTGTTATATTTCCTTATTATCCTTTTAATATCTGTATTAATGTCCTTTATTCCATCCTTAGAATTTATAATTTGTGTTATCTCTGTTATTGTCCTAACCAGTATACCTAGAAATTTATCATGCTTTTTTCCCCTACAAATCAGCTTTTGGTTTTGTTTCCTTTATTGTATTTCTATTTTCTATTTCATTGATTTTTGCTTTTATTTTGATTATCTTATTTCTTCCACATATTTTGGGTTTAATTTGATTTTCCTTTTTTTCTTTTTTTTTAGCTTTTTGGTATGGAAACTTAGGCCACTGAGTTTAAATTTTTCACTTTTCTAATAAAAGCATTTAAATTTCTCTCTAAGCACTGCTTTAACTGCATCCCATAAATTCTGGCATGCTGTGTTTTCATTTTTATTCAGTTCAAAATATTCTCTAATACCCTTTGTAATTTCTTCTTTGACTTACAGAGTATTCGTGTTTTTTAACTTACAAATATTTTTATGCTATTGATTTCTAACTTAATGCCATTGTGGTCAGGGCATACAATGCATGATTTAAATCCTTTTAATCTTGCTGAGACATTTTAATGGTATAACATATGGTCTTGCTTCCTGAATATTTCACATGCATTTAAGAAGAATATACATTCTTCTGTTGTAACGTTATTTAAAGTTTACATATTCTAAAATTAAAATTGAATCAACAAATATGGTGGAAAACTCACTTTAAACAAAAATAGGACCAAATGAAAAAACAATTCAAGTAATTTTGAATAGAGTATTTTCTATGCTCTATGTAGAATATTCTGGGGACTAACTACAAAAAAATCCTGAACTTAGTGAGTTTGCTACTGGTAATAGTAGGGGAGTAGTAAGTTATTTTGTGTGCAGTACAGACTGAGGAAATGAGTACATAATGACGTTGCTGGAAACCAGTGTTCTCACTATGATAGAGGAAGATACAAACATGGAGTGGGTGGAAGAAAAGAAGAATTCTGTGGTTTTGGATTAAAATTTGGGGTATTGGTATAGATTCAGGATTAAAACCTATATATTTCTTGGCTTTGTTTTTTTAGGGGTCCAGAAATGATGACAGCACAATGGCAATGAGCATACATAGATGAACTTGGTTTCTAAATACTATTCACCACTAAAAGGATCAGGATTCCTTGAAGCAACGGCTGAATCTAGGTTTTGGACAGGAAGAGGACCAGGTAAACCTGCAACATCTTGTTGTGTCAATAATTGAAAACTGATGGAGTGTGTCAGAGGACTCAGGGCTCATCTGAGTGGGGCTTTTATTTGCCAAATTTGGGACAATTGGACCTTCAAAGAATACCAATTATAAATGAATTATAATACGTTTGCTTTCTTTAAAAAAAAAAGGGGGGGGGGAGGAAGGGGGCGGTCCATGAGTACAGAGTGATACTAAGGCAAACCGAATTTAAAAACAACCACAGAACCAATAACACAATGTTGTGATGTTGGGGAGGGAAAGTTCCTCTGGAAAGAAGCATGCAATCAATCCTGGGAGAAACATATAAGTAAACCAATACTCAGCTGTGGCAAGTCCTAGAGCATCCTGTTGCTATGGGTTCCCGGAAGAGAGGCATCTATTAGTATATTAGAATAGGAGAGGAGGGAGCAGTGTCTGGAGGTGATACTTCATATGAATCATTAAGGAACACAGGAGCTCCCCAAGTGGTAGAAGCAAACGCTTTTATAAATATCAACTAAGACGCAGATCATCCTTATTGGCTGTGGGCACCACCATCTTTGAGGGCAGGGCAGTCAATTAGCATATTCCCTCCTTATTGGCTGTGAGTGCTGCCATATTTGTGATGGTGTAAGGGCTAATTAACATATTCCCTCTTTATTAAATAGGATAGTTTATTTTTTCTGATCATAAAAGTAGGAGCTTCTTCTGTTAAAAATTGACTCATCTTAATAAGACCCGTGAACTCTAATTTTAGAAGGTTGTGATAATCACAAGTTTTTGTTTAGAATTTAACTGAGTAAGAAATGTGCAAGTAATGAGATTAAAGGTTAAAGGTCAATGTGCACTCATATGTTCAAATGAGGGTTTAAAAATAAATAAGAGGACAGGCACTTTGGAACTAAATCCACAGGGGCTTTTAATTGTAATCTCACTCGGCTTACAATGGAAATAATCTTTCTTCTTGAATTCTGAGAGAGACATCTTGCTGTCTTCTCTTATCTAATATTTCTAAGATGCTTTGAATATATTTTGTATAGTATTACCTATCACAACAGGAGTGGAGGGAGATCCAAGTGCTCAACCATGGGCAGTGGGAGATTGGCCAGCCATCAGGGGGGCTGGCCTGCTGGGGGGAGGGACCGTGGGAGGTTGGCCCCAGCAACAAGCTAACCAACAGCCAACTCCACGAGAAATGGGTCTCCCTCCTCTCTTCTGTCTGGGTCCAGAGTGCGGGTGAACCAGATTTGAGGCAGTCAGCAAGCTAACCAATGGTCGATTCTGCAAGGAATCAGCCTCCTCCTCTCTCCTCTTTGGATCCAGGGTGTGGGTGAACCAGATTTGGGACTGTCAGGGCCCCAGCAGCAAGGTCTGGATCAGTGCACAGCATAAATACCAGCTGGTCATCCTGTCATTCGGTCATAGTGGTTGCTTAGGCTTTATATAGAGAAAGATGGTATATATATTTGTGTGTGTGTATGGTATTATATATAAAATATGTTGTATATATGTATGATATTTGTATGTGATGTGTGTATATATATTACCAATATTTTTGAATCATGATTCTTCATGTGATATTCTTTTAAACTACTTTTTACTAGTAAATATTGCTGGATTTCCCTAGCTGGTTTGGCTCAGTGGATAGAGTGTCAGCCTGCAGACTGAAGGGTTTGATTCCAGTCAAGGACACATGCCCAGGTTGAGGGCTGGATCCTCAGTAGGGGGAGTGAAGGAGGCAGCCACTCAATGATACTCTCTCATCATTGATGTTTCTTCCTCTCCCTTCTGCTCTGTAAAGATATATTTTTAAAAGTATTACATTTTAAATACACAATGCAACTCTTTCGTTTTTACATATTATTTCCCCCTTTCATTCATAATTATACATTGTTGTCATCTTGCTATGCATGCTATTTTGAATTCTGCTCATAAGTATTTTTTATTCTATATAATCTTTAGAGTTGTATATGTGCCCCATTTATCCATGCACCAGGCCTCTATTATGCATATAAGATCTTTGGTTAATCTCTCTGAGCACCACCCCCCCTACTTCTCTCTGAGATTTATCAGTCTGTTCCATGTTGCCATGCCTGTGTATTGAGCATCTGCCCCCTGGTGGTCAGTGCATGTCATAGTTAATGGTCAAATGATCGCTTAGGCTTTTATATATTGTATATAGATTCAAAAGATCTACCCACTAGTGATATTTTGGCCTTTTTCTTATGTAATATTTTCTAAATATAGCCATATATTTTTAGCAAAATTAGGAACATACTGAACAACAGTTTAGTATCCTATTTCATTTCATTTAGTAGTGTTCCCCAAAAGATTTTTTCCATGTCCTTAACTATTCTTGGAAACATGTATTTCTGGTGGTTGGTTAATAATTTTGTAATTTACTTAGCCATTCCACTCTTCCCTATTATAAATAATGCTGAATTGCATATCCTTATATAGAAATCTCATTACATCCTGATTATTTATTTTCCAAAGTGCTATTAAAAGAACCTATTTTTAAAGGTTTATTGCAATTTCATTTACATAAAGTAAAATTATCTCAACATAGGTGTACAATTTAATGAATTTTGAAAAATGCATAGTTTTCCCCCCACAACACCAGGTGGGAGAAAAATAGCTCAATGCTTATATTTCAGCATCGGGCACTTGAGAGCTAACATTAAGAAAACTGTGGAGAAAAGGAGAGAGGATTGTTTTCTCATTTTCTCTAATATCAACTATGAATTGTTATAATAATTATTTCATACCCCCCCCCCCTCTCTCTCTCTCTCTCACACACACACACACACACACACACACACACACACTCATTGTATCTTTTATTTTCTTCTGCTTACTTTTCTCTGCCAGTTCACTCAGGAAAATCACTATTGTCATTCTCAATTCATACACAAATCAAAAAATTACCCATCTACCATATAAGTGATGCTATCATATACCTACCTGTATAACCAGAGTCAAAAGGTGTGATGTAATCTTACCTAATAAATAATCAATATAATAATCCATATATTCCACAATAGATTCTATATATTAACCTAATTAAGTCAGATTTTTTCTCAACAGTTAGTCTTCACCTATGCGCAAACACACGTGGGCATATACACACACATACACAGACAGACAACCCAACCAGCCCCAAATTAGAATCACTGATGACAAGAGATGACTTAGGCACAGCTAAAGAAAAAAGAGGCATGGTTTTGGTAGAGAAATACATCTTTTAAGGAAACAAAGGGGATTAAGCTGGTAAGAAATAGAACTATGGTCAAGTCTTACCTTCCCATTCCTTTGGATCAAGATCATTGATAAGCTGAAGTTTGAACAATTTAATCAGTCACCATGCCTCTGAATAACTGTGTCTCTCCTCATTGCACATGTGAGAACGGAGCTGGCAGTGTTATAGGAATTCTATGCCAGGACACTCATTCCCTGTCTCTCTACTAACCCTGTGTGCCCTCCTTGCCCAATCACATCTTACTCTGTTCCTATTGGTCAGAAATACCTCTGCTGAGAGTTTTAATTACAATATAGGGTGTGGCCTGGTACACCTTTCCTACTCCTGGGGCTTCAAGTTCTAATCTCTTTCAGTCATCCATCCAATACAAGTTTACCGACCACCAACCAACCTACTCTGTTCAGCACTGTCAGAGGGGTGGGAGCACAGTGTGAACAGAACAGGCAGGGCAGTGCTCTCAAAGACTTTCAGTGTAGCTGTCTCTGTACCCATCATGTACCTCCTTCATTTCCACCATCAGGTCTTTTGTCCTCAGAGATAAAATCCTCTCCTAACTCCTAGATACAGCATACATCACTGGAGCCATCTTTTCTGCTATCTCAGCTTTTCACTGCCATCCTAATCTCACCTGGGCAGACATTTAAAAATCTTTGCCACTGATTTCTAGACCAGCAGTCGCCAACCTTTCAGACCTCACGGACCACCAGTGGTCCCGGGATTGATTACCGGTTAGCCACTGCTGCTCTACACTGTTTTATGGGGTCCCTCTTGTCCGTTTTCTTTTCATCACATTTCAGTTGCAAGCAACCTTCTTCTATGAACCTTTCCAGATCTGTCATGCCAATTCTAGGATTCAGCAATATGTTTTATTAAGCTAGATGCTGAGGGACATAATGGTCACTAAGAAATTTCTCCCCTCAAAGAGATAAGTGGTCTGGTCTGAGGAGGCAGCTGCAATGGAGACCCTGCCCTTCTTGTGACTAAGGATATTTTTAAAATCTGGTTGATTTATGGTGAACCTGCCAAATTCTCTTCTGATGGTCTCTTCTGAGCACAAATACAGTGTCTGTTTTTTAACCTGGGCCCAATCCCCACTGAGGGAATGTACTCACCTAACTAAGACTGGAATCTTGGGCATCTTCTTAGACACTTTACAGAAACTTGTGTCTCCTTTGTTGTCAGTGAAGTAAATGCCTGCCACACTGGTCACGAGGTTCCCAGGGAATGTGAACAGAACCCTTTCATCATCACCTTGGTTGGCCCAATCCCAGGCTTGGCCTCCAATCAGCAAACCTCCTCCATGTTTCATAAACTTGACCAACTTTTCAGTCATGGTTTCATTGTAGGCATCAATACAGTAAACCCCCAGGGAGTCTTTCACTTCCGGCTCAAGCTTCGCCTCCACTCCAGAGCCCTCAAGGATTTTGGCCAGAGGTGCCAGGGATGGGTGTACACCTACGGGAGCCCCAGGGGAAGAACAAAGCCACCCCACTGCATTGAGGAGAAAGGTAGTGAGCTGGGCTTCCGCCAAGTAGTCCTCATGGGATACCACCACCAGGCGGCCTCGGCCATAGGAGGACGCAGCAATGAGGACCTGGCCCACGTCATTCAGCATCACTGGGAAGGAAGCCTCTCCAATAAGAAGCAGTTCACACGGGACAGCATCTTCAGGGACATCCCAGCTTGTCACTCCATTCATAAGGGCCTCAAAGGCAGCTGAGGGGGTCGCCATGGCTATGGGCTTCTGCAGAAAGAAAGCAAAGATTCAGCTTGGTGAAGAACAGATAAACAAACAAATCAGGTCATTCCTCCACTAACCAAGGCAATTCTTCCTTCACCCCGGTAAGTCTGGCATTGTGAAATGACTCAGGCACTCACCAGGGGTGGCAGTGTCTCCAATCTAGGAGACCCCATAGCACTCTGTGCTCTTAAATTCTTGGGGTCAAACTAAAAGGGAGCAATACTTTTTTGTCACCAAAGGAAACAAACAGAAGTGAAGACAGTGTCCCCAAAGAGATACAGCATGTTTAGGTATTAAGCCCCAGAACCTGTGAATGTGACCTTATTTGGAAATAGGGTCTTTGCAGATATGAGCAAGTTAAGATGAGGTCATGCTGGATTTGAGGGGGCTCTAATCTAATGACTGGTGTCCCCATAAGATGAGGAAAATTGGACAGAGACACAAATAGACAGGGGAGAATGCTATGAGAAGAGGACACAGGGACTGGAATGAAACATCTACTAGCCAAGGGATGCCAAAGATTGCTGACAAACACCAGGAACTAGAAAGAGGCATGGGACAGATTCTTCTTCAGAACTTCCAGAAAGAACAACTTTGCCAACACCTAGACTGAAAATTCAGAAGCCTCCAGAACTGTCAGAGAATACTGTTCTGTTGTTTAAGCCACCTAGTTTTTGGTAATTTGTTCCAGCAGCTCCTAGAAACTAATACAGTGATGCAGCATGCTGTTTCTATCCCTCCCACCCCCACTCCTACTTGGTTCCCACATTGATCTTTTTAATCCCAGCTTGGGGAACCCAGAATTTCAGTCTGAAAAGTCTGGGTCTTCAAGAGACAGTGCTTTGGCCACAGTCACAGCTGGGCTAAGAGGAAAGCAGAAATCCTCTGTGGCTGGAGTCCATGTACCAGATAAGCAGAAGGCAGCAAGTTATGAAATTATGGCAGATGCTTACTTGCACCTGTCCAGGTGGAGGAAGGTGTGTATGTCTGTGGATGTGTACTTACAAAAATCCTCGGCTTCTACACATGAGCTCCCCACTAAGGACACTATACAGTCTTACCTCCTCCGTATCCACTTTATTGAAACAGTTCCCCAAGGACAGATGTGTTTCCATACTGTGAACATCCAAGGCTTGTCATCCTCACTGATCACTCTACTCAGTGGCCCTGGGCAGTACTGCTCTCTTGGTTCCTGAGGCTCTCCCCGCCTCTAACCTTATGACCCAAGCCCACATTATCTGCCACTTCTTGAACCATTTACTTCCTTTCCTTCTCTTACCTCTTCTGAAAATGTAGGTATTCCTTATGATTTAATCTTTGGCACTTACCATTTTTCTATTTCCTTTGTCAGAGAACAGGCTCATTCTCAAGGTATTACAAGTTCAGCTCTGGAGTTAGGCTGTCTGGGTCTGAATCTCAGCTTTGCTGTTACTAACTGGGAAATCAGGCAACTCATCTCAGACTTAGTTTCCTCACTCATTAAATAGGGATAATAAGATCTATCACATAAAGTGGTCCTGAGGATTAAAGGAAACTGCATAGTTAAGTGTCTTTAAATTATTTGTTATATTTATGAATATTCTATTATTTATTATATGTGTATATGAAAATATAGAAATACACATATCTATGTATACTTTCTTATAATTATTTGGTTAAATGTAAACTGAATATGTGCATAATAGAAAATTCTTATAAAGTAAACAAAAAATCTAACCTAATGTTAGATTTTACAAACACTTAATTAAGCATTTATTGATTCTGATTTTTATAGTTTTCATAATTTTGGAGCCAATATTAATACTCTGCTGAGTTCTCAAGTATTTCTATGAGCCCTTGGCACGGGTACTTTCCTCGATGGAAAGGCCCTGGTCCTGATGTAACTGGTGAAGAACAGATAAACCATTCAAGGCCCCTGTGCAAGAGCCACATTGGCATCAGTCTCTAAAACTAAAGAAGTCTTACATTTATTCTTTTCCCTCCAAACTAGCTTCTCTTAGGTAATTATCCAAGCTTGATGTCCCTAGTTGTTAAAAAGAATAACCTCTATGCCAGAGAACTATTTAGAAGATACAATCAGCAAACATTTCGTTAATAAGTTGTCCCTTCCCTGCTTCTCCTGGTGTTCACAAATAACCAGGACAGCAGGCCACAGTCACAGTTGTGTCCCTCCTGCCCCTGCTCCATATCCTGTCAATGTCCCCATTCACAATTCCCAATCAGCCAAGATCGGTTTGGCTCAATGGATAGAGCGTCGGCTTGGGGATTGAAGGGTCCCGGGTTCGATTCCGGTCAAGGGCATGTGCCTTGGTTGCAGGCATATCCCCAGTAGGGGGTGTGCAAGAGGCAGCTGATCGATGACTCTCTCTCATCGATGTTTCTAACTCTCTATCTCTCTCCCTTCCTCTCTGTACAAAAATCAATAAAATATATATTTTTAAAAAAACAGTTCCCAATCACACTGCCACTAACCTAGTTCAGGTCCTCAGTACCTCACTCCTTCACTAAACTGATCCAGTTTCTCTGTCACCAGTTACCTGTTGTCACCTCTACTCTTCTAAAGCCACCATTATTTCTCAGAAGAGAACCCTTCGACCTCATCTTGGCCCACAGGGGAAAATCTGAGCAGTACTGGGGTGTGAGGCTTCCAGGGCTGGCTGCTCCTTAATTTTCCAGCTGTATCTCCTGCCACAGTCTCTCCACAGCTTCCCTGGATATGCCCTGCTTTCACTTTAGTTCTCTTCCCATTCTGTCCCATCCTGCTCCCTCTCCCACATCTTTCTACCTATTGAAATCCTATTCTCCTAAGAGAAAATATTCATGGAAGAGGGAATTTATATGGCCAATTAGTCTATGAAAATATACTCAATGTCACTGGTCAGGCAAAGGAAAATATAATGTATGTTGCCCATACTGTCAAAAAAGGAGGTAGTAGAAGAAAGTGAAGAAGACAAAGGCAGCTAATAATGTCTAATGTCCAAAAGACTTTGGGGACGTCACTTCTGCTGAAAGGGCTGAACAACTGACAACCATCTAACAGCGGCAATCAGTTTCAAAGGTGTACCTATCCTTAGACCAGCGATCCATCTTCTACTAACCTTTCTTAGAAATAAGAGTAGCTCTATTAAAGTATATATACAAGGATGCGCTTCACAAAAACTGACCTAAAAATTGAGATAAATGACAAGGAATGTTTCTTGGAATTATTTTTGACTCCTGTGGGTATAGATAGGAACTCTAACCCAAAACCACACTTATTTTCCACATATGTGCCCCCATAGCCCACTGTGCTGCAACATACGACCGTGGGACACAATCCCCACCAGCCACCCATACACTCCCCATGAAACGCAATTCTTAGACCGCTTCTCTCTGGGACTATGTTACTTCTGGTTTGCTATTCAGCAAACATCCAGAACAGGGAGCTCACATTTTTGTCTCTCTGATTGTCCTCTGAGCAAGTTCCCAGAAGAAATACCTGCGAAGTGACAAGGGGTAGGCGGGTGGCTTGGAGATCTGAAAAGTAGGGAACTAGGGAAAAGAGGAGGTTTTTGCTGAAAGGCCTCCTCCTTCTTCCATTCCGGGCTGGACTGCTGACCCACGGTGAGTGGGGTGTATGCCAGGGCTCCCTTTCTCTTTGCCAGTTTCCCCGTGAGTGAGGCTGCAGGGTCAGCCCTACTCTGACACCAGTGCTGTGTACATGGCAAGACAACATTTGAGAGGGAGAATGCTTGAGTCAAGCATGATAATACGCATGTTAGAGTATCATATAGCTATTACAAAGAATGAGTTACATCTATTTTGTACCTACCTAGAAGAATGTCCTAGGTATATTTTAAGTGAAATTTTCACATCATCGTAATATAGAGGACACAAACCCATGTTGGTGTGGATGTAAATAATAGTAGTAGAACTAATAATTTTTGTAGTAGTAATGACAAGACAGTGCTAACCAGGTTCCCAGCATTCTTATAAGTGCTTTACATAAATTGTTTAACTTGATTCTTGTGTTCCTCCAGTCTGCTGTTGGATCTCTGTATAGTATTTTTTTATTTTAGTCAGTGTTTGTTTAATTTCTAGTTGGGTCTCATTAAATTTATTGGCCTTTTCTAGGAAATTCTTGAAAAACCTTATAACCATGGTTTTGAACTCTATCTCCAGTCTTTTGTTCTCCTCTATCTCTTTTGTTTGAGATCCATTTCCTTGTCTCGGCATTTTCGCTGCTTCCCAGAGTTGGTAGGATCACTTTGTGTGTTTGGTGTCCTGTATGGCCCAGTGGGTCAGCCTCCCCAGTTACCTGAGGTAGACACTCTTGGTGCTCCCCTTTGTGGACTGCGTGCACAACCTTGTTGTAGTTAAGTCTTGATTCTTGTTGGTATCACTGAGAGGAATTGACCTCTAGGCCCACTGGATGTGAACATCAGCTGTGTCTACTCCCTACATAAAATTGTTTAATCCTGATGAGGTATGTACTGTCACTTTCCCTATTTATATATTGGCAAACCCACAAAGAAAACAAAAGCGTGCCATTCAGAGAATCTGTTACTTGCTTAAGTAACACAGGTAGTGGTGGAATCAGCCTTCAAACACAGGAAATCTAGTTCTGGAGTCTACATTTTTACGTACCAGCAACAGAGAAGCCTACTAAGTCCCTGTTTCTTATATAGGTAGAAAATCTACGAAGCTACATTTCAACATACTAACATTAGGAAGGGAAGAGACAAGCAGTGTTCTTTCCCTTTATATATGTTTGCATCCTTTCAATTGTTTTCTGTATTACTGTTACAATTAAAAATAGCACAGGTAATATAAATTCAATGAACCAAGTAAATACACTCTGATTTACTATATAAATTCGATTGACCAACTGATCCTATCTTACTTGTCCCAAAATGCCTTCTTCACTTCCCAACAAGTTGTGCAATTGTCTATCAATAAATCTGATTTTCCTCTGTGGGGGTTCCTTGAGCTTTGCAGCTGGTTCTGTTCCTACTTTAACAGCT